TTACAAAATTGAATAATTAAATTTGCCACATGGTTTCTTCTTATGTCGTATGAACTACAACATATGTAATTATTCACAATTTTGTAATTCATTTTCGCCATCCATAATGATTGCCAAAATGTTAACTTGGCATGCCATACTTGATAAAAATGCGGACGTGAAAGAAAGCACTTTGATAAAAGCGTCAATGGAGATATAACATTCCAGGGCGACTATTTCGTCATTTATAGAACAAAATACGTGTTTCTGAATGGGTAATTTGTACTTAAATATAATGTTGACATCAATATCGATCTGGTGAGTAAAGAATTTTGATTTAAAATGTGGGTTTGCTTACAGTTCTACGGAAAATACATGCTTTACAAATCTTTGCAGTTACGCTACAAAAACATGTTTATGCTTCAACATGATTAACTTCTGTGTCACAGTGTTCTAAATATTGAAATTTTGTAAAAAAGGAACTGTTATCAAATAACTTTCGTTTCATTTACATTCACAAAATTTCTCTGAGGTTTGTCACAGATCCTTCTGATTTTGTGTCAAAACTCGACCGTGTCTGCTAATATGTATCTTTAAATTCATACAATAATAAATACAGGAATATCCTGTGATCCTTTCTCATAGATGTTAAATTTTTGTCATAAAGAAACTAACCAGTATAGATCATTATAGCACGAACAAAAATTTGTCGTCGGATCCAGTGAATACCGGAAATCATCTCCAGTCCGTAGTTCGTTCAAATATTTCGATGATTCAATGAAAACTACGACGTTTTTTTTCTCACTTTTTTTAATTTTTAACTATGAGCTTAACTACGGCCCACTTAGATATTTCAACTGCATCAACATTTATATTCAAGGAAAATCTGGTATAAATATGATCGTGGGCCGTAGGTACGCTCATAGTTTAAAATACAGAAAAAGGTTTGGAAACTGCCATTTTTATGCCCTTTTCTCGAATCTTGAGGTGTTTACAGCAACAAAGCATGAATAATATCAACGGAAGTTGACAAATCTATTGATGTTAACAAAAATACAGGTTATAAACTTTAAAAATATACTATTATAATCCATGGCATGTCACTTTTAATTTGAACGAAAATTGGGGGCCGTTCTCTGATGCTTATCGTACCTTGTCCTTTGGCATATCAAAGAACCCAAATAATTAAATTTTTGATAAAATTAAACGAAGTTGATTTTGGACCCTTTGGACCTCAATGTGGACCAATTCAAAAATGGGGCCCAAAATCAAAAATTTAAATACACGGTTAGATTCAGCATATTAAAGAATCCCAAGAATTTAAGACTTTTGAATAAAACTCCATTGAAATTAATCAATAAATAAGCAATTTATACAAAGTATTACAAAAGTATTGTTTTTGGCCCCATTCTCCTAAACAGTTTGGGCCATAACCCCCCAAAATAAATCCCAAACTCCCCTTTTAATGCTACTATTTCATAGTGGACCATAGACTTACACTCAAGTTATTGTCCGGAAACCAGAAAATCCTTGTTTTTTGGCCCCTAATTCCTAAAACGAATTGGATTATAACCACCAAAATCAATCCCAACCTTACTTTTGAGGTAAAGAACCTTGTCATACAATTCATCGAGATCTTTACACTTATACACAAGTTATTGTCATGAAACAAGAAAAATCCTTGTTTTTGGCCCCTTTTTCCTGAACAGTTAGGACAACAAACCCCAAAATCAATCCCAACCTTCCTTTTGTGGTATGGAACCTTGTGCTACAATTTCATGGATATCCATACACTAATACTCAAGTAATTGTCTGGAAACCATATGTCTTCAGAGGACGTCGTACCATTATACGACTGCAAAAATTTTGTGGGTGTATAAAAATGGTCAAAGTCCTATAACTCTAACAAGAACTGTCAAATCACACGAACAGTAAAGTATGGTAAACTGCACTGATATTAAATCCTACCGATTATGAAACTTTCTGTCAAATGGTCTAAGGAGGAGTTGTATTCACAATGTGTTATTGGTCAACTACAAATGATGACAAACAGTCCCACCAAGTACGAAAGATTACTGTCAAACAGTCTTAGAGTTGTGCTCACCATGCATCATTGTTATAATAGTAAAAATAAAATACTGTAAATTCAGAAATTATTGCCTGCATTTATTATTTTTTTGAAGAATTAACAAAAATGCGATTTTAGGAAAAGCTTCATACATATTTATGTACCAAATATCAGAATGCCAGTTCTTATCATTGTGATACTCAAGGAGTCGCATTATTAGCATCTCTGTCATGTTTGTTTTTCGTAAATTGTTTTGTTATGAATTAGGCTGTTAGTTTTCTCAATTGAATTGTTTCATATTCTTCATGTCGGAGCCTTTTATAGCCGACTATACGGTATGAGTTTTTCTTATTGTTAAAGGCTGTACGGTTGCAAATAATTGCTTACATCCACATCATTCAAATTTTGGTGGATAGTTGTCTCATTGGCAATCATACCACATCTCCTTATTTTTATATTTGAGGGAAAAAAGTAAACATTTTCTGTTATTGATAGCTTTCATTCGTATAAATGTATTACAATCCATAATGGGTAAAAATCCAAAAACAACATGACTAAGCATGGATAAGCTCCTGGGAGTATAAAAAGTCATGTATCTAGAAACTAAAGTTGTTGCCAATACTTTCTCAAGAGCCTCAAAATATAGACAAACTCTTTTGGGGCATCCACATAATACAAAGTTGGTAGGGATTCCCGCCACAACTTGGGGCACATTTTCTTTTAAAAGTTACATTTCAAGAGATCACATCCCCTGAAAAGGTTAAGTACTGTGTCTTGCCTGGGATTGCTGATTTCAGTGTAAATGTGTAATGTTGACTACCAAACAATTAGCCCATCTATTAATTAATTACAGAGAAGAAAAGTTTACAGTATAAAATGTGTTTTTTTCTTCTTCAGATGCTATTTCTTGATTTTGAAGAAATATAATTTTACTTCACTGATATTTCAGTATGAACTAACTAACCCCCTTAGCCATGGCGCACGGCTAACCCTATATAGTTGGGTTAGTTTTCATCATACATTTCTTATCAATTTTCAAAATTTCAAAATTATTCCCAATTCAATTAATTCCTTGTTTTTTGCAAAAGTTACATAGAGGTTGCAATTCTGTAAATATAGACAATGCAATTTCCCATAGGAACTCCCTTTGCGGCTTAAACTGTGACACTTTTACTATGAAGTTTCGTGAAAAATAATATCCCAGATCGGAAAGTTTATATGCACTACTATTTTATTCAAAGGTCAAAATATAGGGCTGTGCAGCATATTTTCAACATTTATATGCCCTGAACTTCTAAGAGTTTAAACTTATACTAAAATTCTATACTACCCTTACCTTCATAGTTGGACCTCCTAAGAATTAAAATTTAGGCGCTACCATGTTTTTCTATACTGGTTACATTCCCAAGTGATGTCTCTATGAGATGAAACACAGAGATCATAAATGGGAACCAGTACATTAACAAATTAACATATCTATGAATATTATATATCTCCCCAAAAGAGGCGTGGTTTGAGAAACAGCTGTATTTACAAAGTGCAACCTAGAGTTCTATGAAGATTTGACAAAGTTATCAATGTCTGCCGATGCAGAATGAAGAATCGTTATGTGTGGCAGGCTCCAAATAATGAGGCAAGGTGTCTAATATTTCTATATTTTCTGTTTATTTTTAAAAGCTGTGACCCTGACCTTTGAAATTCTGACCTGAAATTTGATAAGATTCTTTCCCTTCTCTATATCTTCATTCTATATAACATAAGAAGATATGGTATGGTTCTTATACTACTTTCATTCAAACCAACAAATCAAATTGCGAATCCAATTTTTCCCTAAAATTTCCATTTTTAGTAACAGTGACTGAACAATATCTTATTGACTCAAAAATCAATAGGCTTTACCCACTTTCCTATATTTCCATCTGTACAAGTTTTGTTCAAATCGCGATGGGGAAACTAAAGTTACATCCCAGAAATCCTATTTCAAAAATTCAATTGCCTTTTTCACCTTCCCTGCATCTTCCCTCTGTAATACCTTTTTGTCCCAATCAAGAAAGGGAAATACAAGTGACCATCCAGAAATGAATTTGTTTTGGACATAATGACTGATGGACAGACAAAGCAAAATTTAAAATGTTTTTCATCTGGGAGCCTAAAAACAATCCTACCAAGTATATAGTTTTTTGACAAATGGTTGCATCCATAAGGTGTTACAATACTCTAAAAAATGGTCAAAGTCCCATAATTCAGCAAAATTTTACAATTCAAAATGATAGTAAAGTATGGTCAACTACACATGATGACAAGCATGAAGGCTTTCTGACAAATTTCCACAGAGAAGTTGGGTTTAATAGGTGTCATTGTGCTATAATTGTCAATAACTCTTTTTAATTATTAAATAACAAAGACAGTACAATATGGTTTATAAACAATATTCCTACCAAGTATGAATTCTTTCTGCCAAATGGTCTCTTAGTGTTGGTGGTTAAGACAGGAGTACAAAGACAATAACTATGTCCTAAATTGGTCAATCATTATCAATTGAGTTTTTTTTTTGCTATGACTGTAGTAATATTTCATTTTATTTTACCAATTTTTGCACATCTAACTTTTGACTTTGACCTTTGAGCAATATGATATGATGTCACTAATAAACAGGATATGCTTAGCCTGTCAAAGCAATAATTAGTCTTGGTTTAGATAGTATATTATTTTTCACTATCTTATTCAATGAATTCTCCTCTAGATTTTGAGTTTTGAATCTCGTTTTAAGGTAGGATGATTTGCTATCACTACCTGTATGTACAAAACATACAATGGTTGTGCTATTCAAATATCAAATTCTAGTAGTAAGCTTTTACTTATAATAAGATGAAAAATCACCTTTCATGATGTGCCTGTAAAATAATAGAACAATTACTGGAAGAGTACATTTATAAAAAAAAAATATAATTACATCTTTCATTCTTCTTATATAAACTTCTCTCATTATGAATTATAACTGATGTTGGTTTATCTGGATTAACCATTGGAAATCCATTCTCTTTCAATTCATCTTCTGATAGAATATACTTAGAAAGTCGTTTATATAGTTCAGCACCTATAAAGATAAAAAATTCGTAAGGGTTCCGCGGAACCCAGTGTCTCGCCTACTTTTTCTGTTAATCGCAGGCTCAACAAAAATGAGGAAGTAAATCAGTAAAAATATTCCTCTTGATACTATCTTTTGATTGTAAGAAGCTTCTGTCCAAGTTTGGTAAAAATCCAGGATAGTTTATGAATCTAATAAATGTTTAAAAACTTTAACTGCAGACTGAATGTAATGTTAACTGGAAGAAAACAATATTTCCTTCTAGATACTAGCATTTGATCATAAACAAGCTTCTGTCCAAGTTTGGTACAAATCCAAAATAGTATAAGAAAGTTATTAAAATTTTAAAAACTTTAACCACAGAGTGAATGTGTTGTTTCCTGGCAGAAAATCTAAGTCCATTTAAAAGTAAAATACGGAAAAAATGGATTTATTTTTTTACAAAATTTCCTTCTAGATACTAGCTTTTGATCATAAACAAGCTTCTGTCCAAGTTTGGTACAAATCCAAAATAGTATAAGAAAATTATTAAAATTTTAAAAATTTTAACCACAGAGTGAATGTGTTGTTTCCTGGCAGAAAATCTAAGTCCATTTAAAAGTAAAATAAGGAAAAAATGGATTTATTTTTTTACAAAATTTACTTCTGGATACTATCTTATGATCATAAACAAGCTTCTGTCCAAGTTTGGTACAAACCCAGGATAGTTTAAGAAAGTTATTAAAATTCTAAAAACTTTAACCACAGAGTGAATGTTATATTTCCCGGCAGAAAAACTAAGTCCATTTATAAGTAAAATACGGAAAAAATGGAATTTTATTTTTACAAAATTTACTTCTGGATACTATCTTATGATCATAAACAAGCTTCTGTCCAAGTTTGGTAGAAATCCAGGATAGTTTAAAAAAGTTATTAAAATTTCAAAAACTTTAACCACAGAGTGAATATTTGTGGACGCCGACGACGACGCCGACTGAATGTAGGATCGCTATGTCTCGCTTTTTCGACTAAAGTCGAAGGCTCGACAAAAAACACTGACTAGACTTGTTTGAGACAACTGAAACACATGTCTTCCCTTTGAGTCTAATTTTGGGCAGATAATGTCTGTATGAGTAAAATAAGAACAACAATTTAAAATACTGGTAAGAAGTTAAGAACTGGTTATGTCATTATGTATTGTCATTCACAGAGGAGTATGCGACATTAAGGAAAGGATGAACCAACTGACCCACTAACAGAAAGATCTACAGACTGGAAAACATAATGCACTGACTATCGAAGGCAGGCACAAAATCTTAAAACAATTTGTTTTGCACTTGGTGCAACCCAGCAAAGACATTCAGAGCATTTTTTTACCTTTATCAATTTTCTCTATATATTCTGATTTTCAAGATATTAAACCTGTTTGTTTATTCAAATAAGGCAGAATTTCTACACAACTTTCCGAGAAGAAAGAATAGAAGCTATCATTATCCTCTAATCTAAAAGTTGGTACTAGAATATATCAATAGTTTTATTGATGATATCATGATTAAGTTGATTTTTATTAACTGTGTCACAGATGACCAATGATATGTTCCACATGTCTAAGCCACAATTCTGTCATTTTTTTTCTTGTTTTGTGACTTACCAAATTCATCTTATCACCCCATTTTGTCCTTCCATGAGCAATACAATGATGTCACTAGTAGAGCAGGAATTGCTCACAATTCTGGGAAACCTGAGATTTTTTATTGCCTCTTTGGTTTCTCCCCACCTTTTTTCTTTTACATGCAATTTACTTTTATGTTCTAAACTGATTAATGGCAGTCATATTGGCCGGGAACACCAGGAACAAATCTTAAACCAACCAGAGATTCTAAAGTTGATTATGACTAAGTTTGATTTCAATCAGCCTGTTGGTTTCTGATAAGATTTTCAAAAGAGTTTACAGATGGACAATGATGATGGATGACAGAGATGGCAGTTACTCACATTGGCCCTTTGAATGAGTGGATACTGTACATACATTAAATTCATAGTATTGTATGAATAAAGTTGTTCAATTTATTTATATTATTGACTAAGTATTACATGAATTTATTTTTAAAACAAACCACCGGTAATCAAAAAAAGAAAGGTACTTACACCGGATACATGTGATACAGTTAATGATGACACAGTATCACAATAAAACACTCAACTAAGAGCAGCTATCAATTTTGACATTTAAAGTAATATTACCAGACATATGAAAAACTATTTTATGACAACTAAAATCCCAAGACTCTAAATTTATTATTTTGAAAATCATTAAAATAAAAAAATAGCTTATCTCTGATAAACATACATAGTATAAAAATTTCATAAGAATTAGTCAAAGTATACTCAAGATTTTATGAGACATTTACAGAAAATTATCTAGTTTTTGACATTTAAAGACCAATATCTATGGAATGCTAAAATGAATATCTTAAAAATCAAAAAGTTGCCATAATTTATGTAACCAAACATTTTGTAATTATTTAGTAAGGATTTGTAAAAGCATTACTGAAGTCATCCGCAGTCAGGAAGGAGGACAACAGTACATCATTATTAATATGTCCATCCTTAGTTGCCATATAAAAGTCAGTTTCAGAAGAGCTGCTAATCAGGCAGTACAAAATTTTTTATTTCGCTTCTCAGAATAATAACAAGAGGCTCTCAAGAGCTTGAATCGCTCACCTGTAATTTTTTGCTTAAATCTTTCATCAATGATTATTTTTGCTTTTCAATATATATTAATGAGTGGCTTAAAAATGCCATTTAAATGTTCTTTGTATCTGTCATATTTTCTTCAAAAGCAAAAAAATGCATTTTACCCATATGTTCCATTATAGCCATAGTGGCTTGTTTCTACAAGGAAATAAAATAAAAAATTAATACTAGATACTCTGAAACTCATTCAGCCCATTGAAGTTTGGCTGAAATTGATTCAGCAGTTTCAAAGGAGAAGATTTTTTAAAGTAAGGCAAGCAAACTAGATGAACAAATTGTGAAAAATTGTCTTTAAAGGGCAATAACTCCTTAAGAGGTCAATTAACAATTATTGTCATATAACTTTTTTGTAGATCTTACTTCGCTGAACATTTTTGCCGTTTACAGTTTATCTTTATCCTCAATAATATTCAAGATAATAATCAATAAAATGCTCCGCAGGGCGCAGCTTGATACGACCGCAGAGGTCGAACCCTGAACAGTTGGGGCAAGTATGGACACAACATTCAAGCTTGATACAGCTCTGAATTTGGATTGTGATTAAATATTTGACACAGCATAGGTTTCTGACACAGAATGAATGTGGTCTAAGAACTTAAAAATTTTAAATTGGACATTCACATATTATGGTCCAATATCCAAAATCTAAATACATGGTTAGATTCAGCATATCAAAGAACTCCAAGAATTCAATTTTTGATGAAATCAAACAAAGTTTAATTTTGGACCCTTTTGACCTCAATGTGGACAAAGTTGATAACGGGGCCCAAAAATCTAAATACATGGTTAGATTCAGCATATCAAAGAACCCAATATATTCAATTTTTGTTGAAATCAAACAAAGTTTAATTTTGGACCCCGATTTGGACCAACTTGAAAACTGGGCCCATAATCAAAAATCTAAATACATGTTTAGATTCAGCATATCAAAGAACCCTAAAAATTCAATTTTTGTTAAAATCAAACTAAGTTTAATTTTGGACCCTTTGGACCTTAATGTACTCCAATTTGAAAACGGAACCAAAAATTAAGAATCTAAATACACGGTTAGATTCGGCATATCAAAGAACCCCAATAATTCAATTTTTGATGAAATCAAACAAGGTTAAATTTTGGACCCTTTGGACCTCAATGTGGACCAATTTAAAAACGGGGCCCAAAATCCAAAAACTTAATACACGGTTATATTCAGCATATTAAAGAACCCCAAGAATTCAAGAATAAAACCCCATTGAAATTGATCAAGAAATAAGCAATTTATAAGAAGTATCTTCTTTTGCACAATACTGTGCAATTGAATATTTCTTGCTATTGCGCAATACTGTACAATTGACAATTTCTTGCTATTGCGCAATATTGTGCTATTGGATAATTCTTGCTATTGCGCAATACTGTGCAATTGAAGATTTCTTGCTATTGCGAAATACTGTGCAATTGAAGATTTCTTGCTATTGTGCAATACTGTGCAATTGAAAATTTCTTGCTATTGCACAATACTTATTATATAAAAATTTACACATCCTGTTTGGTGTGTATCTCCTACAATATCATTATTATTTGCTTTTAAATATAAATCAGAAATAACCAACTTAAAATGGAAAATTTTAAAAGAAAAAAAAAAGGAAAAAAAGAAAAAAAAAAAATCCCCCCCCCCCCAAATTTTTTGAACCCCCTTATGATTCATCACCCCCAAACTCAATCCCAGCCTTCCCTTTGTGGTATGGTACCTTGCAGTACAATTTCAGAGAGATCCATACACTTGAACACAAGTTATTGTCTTGAAACTAGAAAAATGCTTATTTTTGGCCCCTTTTTGGCCCCCAATTCCTAAACGTTTCAGGCAATTACCCCCGAACTCAATTCCAGCTTTCCCTTTGTGATATGAAACCTTGTAGTACAATTTCAGAAATATCCAAACACTTACACACAAATTCTTGTCATGAAACTAGAATAAAATGCTCCGCAGGGCGCAGCTTGATACGACCGCAGAGGTCGAACCCTGAACAGTTGGGGCAAGTATGGACACAACATTCAAGCTTGATACAGCTCTGAATTTGGATTGTGATTAAATAGTTGACACAGCATAGGCTTCTGACACAGAATGAATGTGGTCTAAGAACTTAAAATTTTTTAAATTGGACATTCACCTATTATGGTCCAATATCCAAAATCTAAATACATGGTTAGATTCAGCATATCAAAGAACCCCAAGAATTCAATTTTTGATGAAATCAAACAAAGTTTAATTTTGGACCCTTTTGATCTCAATGTGGACAAAGTTGATAACGGAGCCCAAAAATCAAAAATCTAAATACATGGTTAGATTCAGCATATCAAAGAACCCAACATATTCAATTTTTGTTGAAATCAAACAAAGTTTAATTTTGGACCCCGATTTGGACCAACTTGAAAACTGGGCCCATAATCAAAAATCTAAATACATGTTTAGATTCAGCATATCAAAGAACCCTAAAAATTCAATTTTTGTTAAAATCAAACTAAGTTTAATTTTGGACCCTTTGGACCTTTATGTAGACCAATTTGAAAACGGAACCAAAAATTAAGAATCTAAATACACGGTTAGATTCGGCATATCAAAGAACCCCAAAAATTCAAAGCGTCGTCCGGTGTCGTCCGAAGACACATTGGTTTTCGCACTCTAACTTAAGTTTAAGTGAATAGATCTCCATGAAATTTTACCATAAGGTTCAATACCACGAAAGGAAGGTTGGGATTGATTTTGGGGGTTATGGTACCAACAGTTAAGGAATTAGGGGCCAAAAAGGGGCCAAAAATAAGCATTTTTGTAACTTCCAGACAATTACTTGTGTGTAAGTGTATGGATCTCTCTGACATTGTACCACAAGGTTCCATATCACAAAGGGAAGGCTGTAATTGATTTTGGGGGTAATTGCCTCAAAATTTTAGGAATTAGGGGCCAAAAAAAGGGGCAAAAAACAAGCATTTTTCTAGTTTCATGACAATAACTTGTGTGTAAGTTTTTGGATATTTCTGAAATTGTACTACAAGGTTCCATATCACAAAGGGAAAGCTGGAATTGAGTTTGGGGGTAATTGCCCGAAACGATTAGGAATTGGGGGCCAAAAAGGGGCCAAAAATAAGCATTTTTCTAGTTTCCAGACAATAATTTGTGTTCAAGTGTATGGATCTCTCTGAAATTGTACTGTAAGGTACCATACCACAAAGGGAAGGCTGGGATTGAGTTTGGGGGTGATGAATCATAAGGGGGTTGAAAAAATTTGGGGGGGGGGATTTTTTTTTTTTCTTTTTTTTTCTTTTTTTCCTTTTTTTTTTTCTTTTAAAATTTTCCATTTTAAGTTGGTTATTTCTGATTTATATTTAAAAGCAAATAATAATGATATGGTAGGAGATACACACCAAACAGGATGTGTAAATTATTATATAATAAGTATTGTGCAATAGCAAGAAATTTTCAATTGCACAGTATTGCACAATAGCAAGAAATCTTCAATTGCACAGTATTGTGCAATAGCAAGAAATCTTCAATTGCACAGTATTGCGCAATAGCAAGAAATATCCAATAGCACAATATTGGGCAATAGCAAGAAATTGTCAATTGTACAGTATTGCGCAATAGCAAGGAATATTCAATTGCACAGTTTTGTGCAAAAGAAGATACTTCGTATAAATTGCTTATTTCTTGATCAATTTCAATGGGGTTTTATTCTTGAATTCTTGGGGTTCTTTAATATGCTGAATCTAACTGTGTATTAAGTTTTTGGATTTTGGGCCCCGTTTTTAAATTGGTCCACATTGAGGTCCAAAGGGTCCAAAATTTAGCTTTGTTTGATTTCATCAAAAATTGAATTATTGGGGTTCTTTGAAAAAAAAGCTACCATTTTCATATTACGTTTGTCATTACCCTTAAAATTTTCTAATTTTGAAGTAGTTCCTGATCGTTTCACTGTATAAGATGTCTTCATGGCATTTTTTCCTCCAAGTATAGCTTCATGAGATAACTGCATTGCATTCATTCTAGGCAGTTTTGAAGTTGTTGGTAAACTTTCTGATATTTCATTTCTCAGCCTTTTAATAGCATTAATTGCGACATTCAAATATATGGTCTTTGTGTTACTTCTTTTGTATACTACCATTTCTTCTTCTTGGCCCTAAAATACAAGTACATGTACTTAAATAATATGTAATAAAATGCTCCGCAGGGCGCAGCTTGATACGACCGCAGAGGTCGAACCCTGAACAGTTGGGGCAAGTATGGACACAACATTCAAGCTTGATACAGCTTTGCATTTGGATTGTGATTAAATATTTGTCACAGCATAGGTTTCTGACACAGAATGAATGTGGTCTAAGAACTTAAAAATTTTAAATTGGACATTCACCTATTATGGTCCAATATCCAAAATCTAAATACATGGTTAGATTCAGCATATCAAAGAACCCCAAGAATTCAATTTTTGATGAAATCAAACAAAGTTTAATTTTGGACCCTTTTGACCTCAATGTGGACAAAGTTGATAAAGGGGCCCAAAAATCAAAAATCTAAATACATGGTTAGATTCAGCATATCAAAGAACCCCATATATTCAATTTTTGTTGAAATCAAACAAAGTTTAATTTTGGACCCCGATTTGGACCAACTTGAAAACTGGGCCCATAATCAAAAATCTAAATACATGTTTAGATTCAGCATATCAAAGAACCCTAAGAATTCAATTTTTGTTAAAATCAAACTAAGTTTAATTTTGGACCCTTTGGACCTTAATGTAGACCAATTTGAAAACGGAACGAAAAATTAAGAATCCAAATACATGTTTAGATTCAGCATATCAAAGAACCCCAATAATTCAATTTTTGATGAAATCAAACAAAGTTTAATTTTGGACCCTTTGGACCTCAATGTGGACCAATTTAAAAACGGGGCCCAAAATCCAAAAACTAAATACACGGTTAGATTCAGCATATTAAAGAACCCCAAGAATTCAAGAATAAAACCCAATTGAAATTGATCAAGCAATTTATACGAAGTATCTTCTTTTGCACAATACTGTGCAATTAAATATTTCTTGCTATTGGGCAATACTGTACAATTGACAATTTCTTGCTATTGCGCAATATTGTGCTATTGGATATTTCTTGCTATTGCGCAATACTGTGCAATTGAAGATTTCTTGCTATTGCGCAATACTGTGCAATTGAAGATTTCTTGCTATTGTGCAATACTGTGCAATTGAAAATTTCTTGCTATTGCACAATACTTATTATATAATAATTTACACATCCTGTTTGGTGTGTATCTCCTACCATATCATTATTATTTGCTTTTAAATATAAATCAGAAATAACCAACTTAAAATGGAAAATTTTAAAAGGAAAAAAAGAAAAAAAAGGAAAAAAAAAAAATCCCCCCCCCCAAATTTTTTTAAACCCCCTTATGATTCATCACCCCCAAACTCAATCCCAGCCTTCCCTTTGTGGTATGGTACCTTGCAGTACAATTTCAGAGAGATCCATACACTTGAACACAAGTTATTGTCTGGAAACTAGAAAAATGTGTTTTTTGGTCCCTTTTTGGCCCCAAATTCCTAAACGTTTAATGCAAATTACCCCCAAACTCAAACCCAGCTTTCCCTTTGTGATATGGAACCTTGTAGTACAATTTCAGAAAGATCCATACACTTACACACAAGTTATTGTCCTGAAACTAAAAAAATGCTTGTTTTTTGCCCCTTTTTGGCCCCTAATTCCTAAAATATTGAGGCAATTACCCCCATCATCAATCCCAGCCTTCCCTTTGTGGTATGGTACCTTGCAGTACAATTTCAGAGAGATCCATACACTTGAACACAAGTTATTGTCTGGAAACTAGAAAAATGCTTATTTTTGGCCCCTTTTTGGCCCCCAATTCCTAAACGTTTCGGTTATTACCCCCAAACTCAATTCCAGCTTTCCCTTTGTGATATGGAACCTTGTAGTACAATTTCAGAAAGATCCATACACTTACACACTAGTTATTGTCATGAAGCTAGAAAAATGCTTGTTTTTTGCCCCTTTTTTGGCCCCTAATTCCTAAAATTTTGAGGCAATTACCCCCAAAATCAATCCCAGCATTCCTTTTGTGATATGGAACCTTGTGGTACAATGTCAGAGAGATCAATACACTAACACACAAGTTATGTCTGGAAGTTACAAAAATGCTTATTTTTGGCCCCTTTTTGGCCCCTAATTCCTTTACTGTTGGTACCATAACCCCCAAAATCAATCCCAACCTTCCTTTTGTGGTATTGAACCTTGTGGTAAAATTTCATAGAGATCCATTTACTTAAACTAAAGTTAGAGTGCGAAAACCAATGTGTCTTCGGACGACGCCAGACGACGACGACGACGCCAACGTCATACCAATATACGACCACAAAAATTTTTTTGCGGTCGTATAAAAATGTGTTGATTGGACAAGGTTATATATATCATCCCGAACATATAATTGGATTCAGCAGACCACACCATTTATATTGATTGATTAATTAATTGGTGTTTAACGCCACTTTCAGCAATATTGCACTATTTTGTGGCGGTCATTTTTATTGGTGGAGTGCCCAGAGAGAACCACAGACCTTCTGTAGGAAAACTGACAATCCTAGTCAATTAAGATTGGAGTCAAATGCACCTGCCATGTGCTGGATTCAAACTCAAAACCTCAGTGTTGACCTGCTAGTGATACAGTAGTTCAACTACTTAGACCACTCTGCCACCAAGGCCCCACACACACACACCATATTAAGATATATTGCAGGTTTTTTTTTGCATTATCATAGACAATAAACCATGTATAAAAATAATATTGCTTGATTAATTGTTGCTTGCTTTATGTCATTTCCTATTAATTATAGTATTTGAAAAATAGACCTATCATTAAAACTAAACATTGCCCAATGAACCATGAAAATGAGGTCAAGGTCAGATGAACCCACCAGAAAGACATGTACACCTTACAATCTATTTATGCACCAAATATAGCTAACTTATAGTATCTGAGAAACAGACCTTACACCAAAATATTTACCTTACACCAAAATATTTACCATGACCAATGAATCATGAAAATAAGCACAATGAATTATGTCTGATGGACATTTATTCCTTGCAATGATTCTTTAGACCAAATATAGTGTCCCATTACTCACAATAAGAGAGAAAATCACATGATGAAATAATTGCCCTATTAGCTTCTCTTTGTTTGGCACTCTGCAAGCGAGACAAAGCTCAATATTAAAGGGCAATGACCCAAAACATAAATTATCTGACAATTTAATGGAATTACAGTAAATCTTGTGTTTCGCATGATTTATTGCTATTTCATTTCCAATCAACCATGGGAAACTCAAGTTACCATACGGAAACCAATTTTCCAACACATTTCTATTTTTACAGTGGCATTAACCTTTGCCTACTGATATCTTCCATCTTTATAAGTTTCATTCCAATCAAACAAGATTTACTCGAGTTATCATCTGGAATCTATTTGTTTCGTTCTTACAAACGAAAAGACTGACTATTGCTTTATGCTCCTGTAATTTTTCAATGCCCTAACAAGCCATAAAAAAGGCTAGCTAACAACAGAGCAATATCAGACAAATTGGTGAAAAGTGACACCATAAGTTGTTCTTTTGAAAAGTGCATATCTTGAATATCCAACCAATATCTTTACTTCAAACAAGCAAGATGTTCAAACCTGAATAAAAAGAAGAAACTGGTGCACATCAGAAGAAAATGTCAATGGTTTTAGACATATCCATATAATGGGACAGTCTCCCTATCATTATATATTTAACCATAGAAAAACAATCTTAATGTTATCAAAGATGACTGCATATTGTCTCTATTTACATACCCTTTTAAATGCCTCTTCTTCACTATCACACAACTTAAGGCATTCATCAATGATCAAATTTAAGTATCTTTGTCTGATGTTTGTTGGGACTTTACTTCCAAATTCAGCAGGTATTTGTGGTCGTGCTAAATTTGACTAAACATAAAAAACATATATCACATTTATGTCATATTTTCTTTAAAATACATTAAATTATAGGGGAACAATGTAAACAAGATTGCAATTCCATAGCTAAATTTTGCCCATCCCTGTGTAAATGAGAAATAAAATTGTGTGTCCTGTATAGAGTTGTACAAATGGAACATAGATTACATCATAAAGTGTATTTCAAGCTTTTGTTCTTGTTGTAGTTATTCTAATCATTTCAAGGTAAATATGGTGTTTCTGCAAGATAAGAAATTGGCATTATACTGATTTCTATTTATGAAAGGAAATGTGGGAATGCACAAAAAATTTATTATGAGTCAAAATTAGACATGGTGTCAAACAATCCTACCAAGTGGAGAGTTTTCTGTCAAACGGTTTCAGAGGAGTTAATGTGTTCATAAGGTGATATTGTGGTAGGATGGTCCAAAAAAGTCCCATAACTCCAATTACAGATGGATTAACAGATTGATGGACAGACTGCCACTTCCTTGTCTGGAGTATAATAAACCTTAAGGAAAAAAAATCTAGACAAAGATAAAAATGTTTATGTTTTTTTTTATTATGCTGAATGGTTTTAAGCTGAATGATCTTATGGCATTGACTGACAGCAGAAACAGACGATCTTTATAGTCCATTTATTTTTGTACTTCTGAGAGATTGTCTGTATTTTTTTAATCCTGATGATGGTGTCCAAGGCACCAACACATGTTGATCTCATTAAATTACTGCAGCAATCACTAAAGTGCTGCTGTTATAACACAAAATCGGTGAAAGAAATTGTCTAAAAAATCATCAAATCTCCAATTTGTAATACATAGATTTTTCTTAAAAAACTATGTGTTGTTGATACATAAATTTCCGTTAATTATGAGTCAAAACTAGACATGGAGTCATGATAATTTTAACACAAATTCAAGATAATTTTTGCCGATTTTATGTGCTTTCTATACAAATGTTTACCTATTTAGAAAGAATTCAATCAGCAATACTTCAGAAAATAAAAGAGATAAATTCATTTTTTTTCCGATTTTCAGTAAAAGAAAGTCAAAGTTGCATGCAAAATTTTACCAAAATCTGTGACTTAGCTCATTTACTGTTCCTTTACCTTAAAAATGTCATAAGCAGTCTGAAGTAAGCATGACCTTGTGCAATGTAAAATAAAGTAGCAACATGGTGTAAAACCATAAGTGTAACGCTTTAAACAAATAAAAATAAAATTAATAACAGTACATGTACCTTTATAAAGACTCAATATTGTTTTTAATACCCTTCAATACATTTGATTCATATCATTTCCATTACCAGAAAAAATCTTTTACTATACAATGATTTCTGACATCATTTAAATGTTATATAGGCTAACTGGATCTGTGCATATTTGAACTGACAAAGTCATTGTGCCTGCTTGACATTTTTCAAAAACCTGTCCCTTTTTTTATGTACATAATCTTACCCTGCATAAAGAAATATATTAATTTCATCATTTTTTTAAAACATTTATCTAAGAGCAGTCGTAAGGAAATTATCCCCATTAGAGTGTTCATCCCTTTGTTCAATGTACTGGCGTAGATTTTATGACCAACAAACGCACAAATTACATCAAATAATGTCATCTAAAACCAAACACTTTGATGGAAGCAGAACAATTGAAATCAAGTGTATTGTTTAAATAGTTATTCCTTCATGTACATAAAATTTGTTGAAATGTTAGGACTTAATGATTTATGGTGTAAAGGTAAATAAAAATATATAATACCACATCTGGAATTCTAGCTTGGCGTTTCTTGGTCTTTGATGCAGTAGACACCACCGTAATTCTAGAATTACTTGAACTAGACTGTTGTTTGTGATCTCCCTTAGATTTGTTGTTTGACAGTGTTGGTTGATGCTGAAATGTAGTGACTGTGATTGTTATAATTGATGATGATGACCAATACATAAAATTCCACCAAACTCCCATACTGTGTATGTGCATATCAAGCTTAGTATTACTGTCATATAAGGGCAGTAACTCAGTCAATTTCATCTATGCTGACCTATTTACAGATTGTGTCTTGTTGATCATTTTTGCATTCTAACGTTTCTATCTTTCTATTTGAGTTTTTAGGTAATAGGCAAATACGTCAAAAATTGATAAGAATCACCAATAAAGGATAAATTGCTTCGCCGAGCGCAGCTGGATACGACCGCAGAGGTCCAACCCTGAACAATTGGGGCAAAAATGGACGCAATATTCGCGCTTGATACAGGTCTGAATTTGGATTGTAATTTAATATTTGACACATAAAACGTTTCTGACACAGAATAACTGTAGTCCAAGAACTTAGGATTGGTTAGATGATTTGAATTTATATTCAATTTTTTGCTTTTGTGCAAAACACTTTGCTGTTGTGAATTGACCCCTCCTCCCCCCACAAAAAAAAGAAAGTGCAATACACTTTGTTGTTGCGTATTTACCCCCACCCCCACACACAGACACTGTTTTTTTGCAAAAAAAATAATATTTGAAGAATTTTTCTTTTAATTTCTGAAATCTGAAATGAGAAAAAATTGACCCCCCACAATTTCTTTTTACCCCCCCCCCCCCCTTTTTCCCCCCAAAAAATTCTTTCCCTCAAGATATGGTCATAATCTCAATTCAAATTTCCAATGGAGTTTGCAACCATAATTACCCATTTAAATACATCATAAAAGTCTTAAAATAGAAAATGACATTCATAATCTTGGCTAAAATTAATATTCCTTAATCAGCATTTTAAATAGTAACTTCTAAAAATAAATTGACAGCTAATCACCTCAAGACAATACAACATTCCTTATACATAATTTAAAAGCAGTGTAAGGGAGGTAATCCAAACTTAACATTGTACTTTTTTTAATTGTCCATTACCCAGGAAACCCTTGTTTTTCCCCCTTTTTTGCCCCTAATTCCTAAACGGTTTGAGCCATAACCCCCCCGCCAAAGCCAATCCTAACCATCCTTTTGTGGTATGGAAACTTGTGATATAATTTCAGAGAGATCCATACACCGTTCCACAAGTTATTGTCTGGAAACTAAAAAAAATGCTAAATTTGGCCCCTTATTCATAAACTGTTAGGACTATAACCCCCAAAATCAATCCCAACCTTCCGTTTTTGGTTATAAACCTTGTGTTTAAATTTCATAGATTTCTATTTACACTTACTAAAGTTATTGTCCGGAAACCAAATGTCTTTGGACGAGGCTGACGACGAAGACGACGTGATACCAATATACGACTGCAAAATTTTTTGCGGTCGTATAAAAAGCATTGGTCGAACGGTTCTTAAGATATCGCACATAAACTATATAAGCCAGTTTCCGCCAAAGCAATAACTGGATTTTTGCCAGAAAATCCAATTAAGAAGAACCTCAAACCAGCTAGAAAAGACCTGTGACATTCAAATATAGAAATAGAAATTTTAAATTGTCACTCTTCAAGAACGCCACAGCTGGATTAACAAATCTATGTTCTGCAATCTATGACACTCATCAAATGTCAGCCAAAAACTAATTTGTTACTAACCATAATGTGAAAAAGGCGGGTACTTACCAATGAAGATGATGAAGATGATAATGAGGTTGATGCTGAATGTAATTTAGCTGCCTCCTCTAATGCTTTCTTTCTCATCTCCAAGAATCTGTTGTGCATGACTTGTGCTGGGGAAAGCTTTGAGTAGGGTTTTTCTCGAATTTTTCTTTTGACCTATAAAAAAAATAAATGTGGATAGTGTCCACATGTGGACACAGATGATGCCCCCGCTTGCATATCATATAGTTATAAAGGGACATAACTGAAGAACGGTAAAAGTGACGCTACCCAAATTTGAACTTGATCTGAGTTTTGTGGTAATAAGCATTGTGTGTAAGTCTCATAACATTTGATTGAGGCTAACTTAAGAAGAGAACAGAAACTAAAATTCAGCAATTTTTCTATTTGTAAACATGCATAACTCTAGAACGGTTGTGTATAAGTTTTATAACATTTGGTTGAGACAAACTAAAGTTAGAGAACGGAAACGTTAATTCAGCAATTTTTATGTTTATAAAGGGACATAACTCAAGAATGGTAAAAATGTCGCCACCAAATTTCGTACTTAATCTGTATTATGTAGTAATAAGCATTCAATGATTGTGTATAAGTTTCATAACATTTGGTTGATTGGCAAACTAAAGTTAGAAAACGGAAACAAAAAATTTGATCTCAGTTTTGTGGTAATGAATATTGTGTATAGGTTTCATAATGTTTGGTTGGGGCAAACTTAAGCTACAGAATGGAAACTAAAAATTTTGCAATCTTTCTATTTATAAAGGGGCATAACTCAATAATGGTTTAAGTGACACTACCCAAATTCAACTTAATCTATGTTTTATCATTGGAAGTCAAAATTAAACATTGCATTGTATAAATCATTGATTGTAGTTGATTCAGCTATAATCATGGACAAAGGAAGATAACTCCAATTTTAAAAATTACTTGATATTTAGAAGAAAATAAAAGTTTTGCAATTTTTCCAATTATAAAGGGGCATAACTCTAGAACTGTTTAAGTGACGCCACCAAAATTCAAATTTGATCTGTGTTGTGTGGTAATAAGCATTGTGTATAAGTTTCATAACATTTGGTTAAGGCAAACTAAAGTTAGAGAATGGAAACGAAAAATTCAGCAATTTTTCCATTTGTAAAGGGGCATAACTCTAGAACGGTAAAAGTGACGCCACCAAAGTTCAAACTTGATCTGTGTTTTGTGGTAAAAAGCATTATGTATAAGTTTCATAACATTTGATTGAGGCAAACTAAAGTTAGAGAACGGAAACGATAAATTCAGCAATTTTTCCATTTGTAAAGGGGCATAACTTTAGAACGGTAAAAGTGACGCCACCAAAATTCAAAGTTGATCTGTGTTTTGTGGTAATAAGCATTGTGTATAAGTTTCTTAACATTTGGTTGAGGCAAACTAAAGTTAGAGAACGGAAACCAATTTTGGGACGTACGTACAGACGGACAAGGGTAAAACTTAATGCCCCTCCGCTACGGCGGGGGCATAATTATGAACCTGTTTTGTCCTGTTGACTGGATGAAATTAACATTAATTTGACAGTTAAAGTCCAGTAACTCTAGAATGACAAACCAGAAAATATTAAAAATCAAAAGGGAGTTTCCTTTAAATAATTCCAATAACAGCATAAAGTTTACAGAAAATCCATGATGCATCTTTACAGTAGTTAGTAAGCGATATTGTGATTTATCATATACTAATTTAAGAGTAAATAACTTATAATTTTTACAGTATGATAATAGCATTAAATTTACGTGAATTCCATATTTTCCGATATGGTGCTCAGCGGGCTGATATGATAAATTTATCAACTGCTTCCGGCTATCATTGCATGCCTTTCCGTAAAGTTATTGCATGGCATTCCAGCATTACTCGGCAAATTCCCGAAAATACATCTCAATGGTACTTTTTCAGTGAAAACATAACAAAGTAGGGTATAAAACAAATATTGGGAAACAGGAAAATATATTATGTAAAATGCAAAACAAATGATACAATAAATGCATTTTTCAAAGTTTCCAGCACAATTTAGCAAGTTAATATACAAATATGACTTTTCCAAACAGTGTTCATTTTGTTTTGTTGATTTTTTTTATCGTGAATATAAAAATATATTATACTGTTGTTTTTCTCCACTGATGAGGCATATGATAGAAAGATTTCATATTGGATGTATTACATTTGGCGTCCGTCATCCGTTAACTTTTGTCTTTTTGAACTTCTACTTGAGAACCACTTAAAAGGATCACTATATTTAACTGTTGAAGCATATGATAAAAAGATCATAACATGTCATTTTTCATATCAGATGTATTATCAGCCCTCGGTCAATATCAGCCCTTGAGTCTTCGGCTCTTGGGCTGATATTGAACCTTGGGCTGATAATACATCTGATATGAAAAATGCCATGTAATAATCTGATAAGATTGACTGGTTATCTACTTTACGCCACATTAGCACAAAAAGGCAATATTGCTTGATGTTGTGAAAAATTGCCTTAAATCTGATGGTTTAAGTCCTGTAAATCTTGAATGAGAAATAACAAAAAAATCCAAATTATCTGAAGAGACTTTTCTTTTTATCTGAATCCCAACAACCATGACAACAGTGTTAAGTTTTAAGTTCTAGGCAAACTGCCTTTAACCTGATGGATAAGTCCTGTAATTTTGGAACAACAAACCAAAAACTTTTCAGAATTAAAAGTGAGTTTTCTTCCATGAATACTAACATTGTTTAAAATTTTATAAGAATTGGACGGATGGACAGACAGAGGGGCAGACGGTCTACAATATAGCATATGTTTTGTACTATACATGCTATAAATTGTACCTTTAATGCATTATGGCTGGCATAAATTTTGAAAAGTGATTTATGATTCATATACAATATATAGGCCAACATACTACTACTAAGGGGTGTTTAACGACATTGACTACCCATGAGGGTCTTGCACGGACTGTGGCTAACATGAAAGCAGCCAAGTGGGGTACACTGATTTATTCATTTCCATGGGTACCAATTTTCGTGGATACCTTTACCAACGAAATCCATGAAAATTAGTATCCAACGAATAATAATGAATCCACATTATATGATTCTCTTATGGTTATGGCCTGTTATCTATTTCTCGCACAAATGATTATGAAACCTTTAAATCTTCTTATTTTCAACTTAACATTAGAGCAGGAAAAGTCTCTTTGTTTCTAAAGGAAACAAGAAATTCTTTCATCAGAGAACTATTACTTCCAAGAATGTCATGTCACAAAAAAATCTGTATTTGTAAGAACAGTTACACATACAGACTTTAATAATATTCATGATATCTATAAAGAGTTGTTTTTGTATGCAATATTTATAAATATGAAATTTCCACAGTCTCACAACACTTTGTTGTGAATTACACATACAGTGTACTGTTATGCCACACCTACATTTTTTTTGCCCTTATATATTTCGTATAATAACAAAAATTTTTACAAAATAATATTGTGATAGCTTAAATTTATGGTTTGATTTTAATAAACCAAATGTTTAAAGACTCAGAATTGTCTGAAGTATGTTTGTTTATTTGATCATAATTTTTTCTCCAGAAGTTTATGTTTTCGTGTGATGTGAACATGCAAAATAATTAAGAAATAATTAATGACAGATTTGATTTCATTTAACCATGGGTTGGGCATTTATAAATATTATTGATTATTTTATCCCAAGCAATATTGCCCTACCAGCACGGCCAAGTCTTGCTTTTTTTTTTAACCTCGTCCAAGTGAGACGAAAATTATTGTTGAATAAGAATCATACACAATTTTAAAGATACCTCAAGGATGATTTATATGGTCAGGTTTGGTTCCAATTGGCCTAGTATTTTCAGAGGAGAAAATTTATGTAAAAGTTTACAGACAACAGACAACAAACAACTGACAATGGTGGACACCAAGTGAAGATAATAGCTCACATGGCCCTTAAGGCCAGGTGAGATAAAAAGAGGGAGAAGATACCAAGGGCAATCAAATAACATAAGTCAAATAAAAACAGACAACAATATGGTGGAAAACAAACAACAGTCTCTAAAACACTTTCACAGAAAACTAGAGTTCCACTAACAGCCAAATTAATCATGATTGTGAGTGTCATTAAAATTTTTGAAGAAATTAGCACGACTTTACCATTTGGAATCCTTGTTTCAATAGCTTCCTTAACTTGTAAACAGCAACACACTATCAAGGAAATCATGATAGGAAACACAAGCCCTGAACTATCACCCTAATAATTACAGCATTAATTTCTTATTGATATATTAATAGATTACCTCTTTTGAGTTTGCACTATGAGCTACTCTTTTTTTACTTGAAATTATCATAGGTTCTTCATTCTTTGTTGTCTCAGGAAGTGTTTTCTACAATAGAAAGTAAACAGTAATAACAAAATTTAGTACTCTGTAATAAGTTTAACGTGGTATTTAGCTTAAAACTTTATTTCTGTCAACATGATCAATTGAACAAATTTTTTTACAGATTTTCATTAATAGAAAAACAAAAGATATGGGGTATCCATCCATGACACAAAATCAGTACATGCACAGCAAAATATTTGTCCATTATTAAGTAATTCATTGAAAACAAAATATAAGTATTGACAGAAAGTGTTCTGACATAACTATCAAACTATCATGACTACATTTACATATAGTCATACATGATTAATTAAATAATGTTTTGGTTTATTATAAACAAAATCAATGTTACTACATGATGTACTACCATTGAAGACAGTATTTAAAGATCTTACTACAGTTTGACTAAAGCCAGCCCCACCATCCACTTAATTTGTAGCCTACAAACAATAGTGGATAGTCATGATAGTCAGGGGCTGGCTTTAGTCAGACTACAAATGCAAGTGGATAGTGGGGGCTGGCTTTAATTGTCAGACTGATCTTACTACAGTGTTAAATTGATAAGCATGATAAGCTTTCAGCATGTTCAGAAAAATAAAAAAAATAGAAGATGTGGTACGTTTGGTAATGAGAGAACTATTTACCAGAAACAAAATAACATATATATATCATGATATATAGCAACTATAGATCAAAGTAAGGCCTTCAACATAAATATAAAAATATCAATAAGTGAACATGGATCAAAATTACATTTACGGGCTCTTTAAACAACATCTCCATAAAATTTATGATGTGAAATCAGAAATTCTGTTTGTAATAAGATTTCTACTGATCATGCTGATACAGCCAAACTTCCAAACTAAAATTGAAATCTTTGTACATCATGTACATGTTGTATCTACAAATGTATTAAAGAATTTAGTAAAGGTTTTAAGTAATTTGTGATAATGAAATCTCTGGCAATGCCTGGCTCAATCATGTTAATAATTTACTGGTTATTCAAAGATTATGTTCATTGAAATCTAAAAACATCACTGCAGACAAAGGTAAAGTAAAAGAGGTGGAAACAAAACACATCACTGTCCAAAAAGGAAATTAACAATCATGACAATAGGAAACAAAATATCATCTCTCACTATTGTATACAATTTTAGTAAAGAGTTTTAATGTATATTATTGTTAGTGACAGGGCCTTGAAATAGTTGTCAAACTGATATGTCATGTATGTACTGATAGTAATGCAACTTTATAATCGATCACAAATAGTTCCTATCAAACTGAAAACATAACATTTGTTGATGCTGCCTCTAGAAAAGTAACACAGGTCTATGTCTCGTCTTCAGGATCTTTTCCCACAGGTGAGACAAAAACCTAATCATTGCGCTTGTGTCAAAAATTGGTGTGTATTGTTTAGTAAGCACATAATTTCAGCCATAACCATGATAAGATCTAGTCATGTTAGTGGCAATCATGACAATGTCGGACTGAAAATTTTCATTACTAACTACTATACTAAATAATAGTCATGTGATAGTGGGCGGTGAGTGGTGATAAGATATTCAGGTTATTTGCAGTTGTGCAAACTGTAAATGAAAATGTCATAGCCACCAGAAAAGTAGTTCCTTTAACTGGTCAATCAGGATTTTTGTGAGAAATAAATCTGAGAACAACAAAGAAACTTTTAAATCTAATTTCAACCAGTGGACAGCTGAAAACTTGGTACATATTGGTAAACATAAAAAGTAATTATAGGTCATAAAGCATAAAAGAACTAGAGGCTCTAAAGAGCTTGTATCGCTCGCCTGGATCTTTGTGCATCTTCAACAATGGTCACTCCCCAACATTGTAGACTGGAATATAATTTATGACTATAATTTCTTTTTGTTGATCTTATATTGCTGATAGTTTTTCTGTTTTGTTTCTTTCTATTTATCATACTTTTTGTAAAAATCATCATTCAAATTCAGTAACTCCTATATATTTGCTATCATAAGAAGTGAACTGCCTATAGCCATGATAGCTATCTGGCTTGTTGACCAATTTGTTGATCCTGTCTTGCTGATCATTTTTAATGTTCACAATTTCTCTCTACCTTCTTTAGCTATAGCTTTTGCCCAAAATGCAAAAAAAGAGGCAGAAGATAACAAAAGGTTAAAAGACGTAAAAATCATCATTTTAGGGCAATGTTACTCCTACATTGTCCTACATGTATATATATGGAGTCAAATAACACTCTCGGCTATGTTTGATTTATTTTGTCTGCTGATTATTTTGCTTTTATAACTTTCTATCTATCTATTTATTATATAGTCTTGTTGATCATTATTGCTTTTTTAAGTTTCTCTCTATATCTATCATGTCTATTGTCAAGATTAATAGGCAAAAATGCAAAGAATTGGTAAGAATCATCATTTATCAGCAATAACTCCTGTAATCTGATGATATCAACAATGTTTACTTATTTGTAGAACTTGTCATGTTGATCATTTACCATTTAAATGCAAAAAAATTTAAAGTTCTCTTTATCAATAAGTTTTCAAGATAATAAGCAAAAGTGAAAATAAAATGCTTCGCTGGGGCGCAGCTTGATACGACCGCAGAGGTCGAACCCTGAACAGTTGGGGCAAGTATGGACACAACATTCAAGCTTAAACAGCTCTGAATTTGGATTGTTATTAAATATTTGACACAGCATAGGTTTCTGACACAGAAAGAATGTGGTCTAAGAACTTGAAATTTTTTAATTTACCTATTATGGTCCAATGTCCAAAATCAAAATACATGGTTAGATTCAGCATATCAAAAAACCCCATATATTCAATTTTTGTTGAAATCAAACAAAGTTTAATTTTGGACCCCAACTTGGACAAACTTGAAAACTGGGCCCATAATCAAAAATCTAAACACATGTTTAGATTCAGCATATCAAAGAACCCCAATAATTCAATTTTTGCTAAAAAATCAAACTAAGTTTAATTTTGGACCCTTTGGACCTTAATGTAGACCAATTTAAAAAACGGGACTTAAAATTAAAAATCTAAATACACGGTTAGATTTGGAATATCAAAGAACCCCAATAATTCAATTTTTGATGAAATCAAACAAAGTTTAATTTTGGACCCTTTTGACCTCAATATGAACCAATTTGATAGCGGGGCCCACAAATAAAAAATCTAAATTCATGGTTAGATTCAGCATATCAAAGAACCCCATATATTCAATTTTTGTTGAAATCAAAATAAGTTTAATTTTGGACCCCAACTTGGACCAACTTGAAAACTGGGCCCATAATCAAATATCTAAACACATGTTTAGATTTAGCATATCAAAGAACCCTAAGAATTCAATTTTTGTTAAAATCAAACTAAGTTTAATTTTGGACCCTTTGGACCTCAATGAAGACCAATTTTAAAAAATGGGACCCAAATTAAAAATCTAAAAACACGGTTAGATTTGGCATATCAAAGAACCCCGATAATTCAATAATGATGAAATCAAACAAAGTTTAATTTTAGACCCTTTTGACCTCAATATGAATTAATTTGATAGCGGGGCCCACAAATAAAAAATCTAAATACATGGTTAGATTCAGCATATCAAAGAACCTCATATATTCAATTTTTGTTGAAATCAAACAAAGTTTAATTTTGGACCCCAATTTGGACCAACTTGAAAACTGGGCCCATAATCAAAAATCTAAATACATGTTAAGATTCAGCATATCAAAGAACCCCATATATTCAATTTTTGTTGAAATCAAACAAAGTTTAAATACTGGACCCTATCTTGGACCAACTTGAAAACTGGGCCCATAATCAAAAATCAAAACACATGTTTAGATTCAGCATATCAAAGAACCCCAAGATTCAATTTTTGTTAAAATCAAACTAAGTTTAATTTTGGACCCTTTGGACCTTAATGTAGACCAATTTAAAAAACAGGACCCAAAATTAAAAATCTAAATACACGGTTAGATTTGGAATATCAAAGAACCCCAATAATTCAATTTTAGATGAAATCAAACAAAGTTTAATTTTGGACCCTTTTGACCTCAATATGAACCAATTTGATAACGGGGTCCACAAATAAAAAATCTAAATACATGGTTAGATTCAGCATATCAAAGAACCCCATATATTCAATTTTTGTTGAAATCAAACAAAGTTTAATTTTGGACCCCAAATTGGACCAACTTGAAAACTGGGCCAAAAATCAAAAATGTAAATACATGTTTAGATTCAGCATATCAAAGAACCTCATATATTCAATTTTTGCTAAAATCAAACAAAGTTTAATTTTGGACCCTTTGGACCTTAATGTAGACCAATTTGAAAACTGGACCCAAAATTAAAAATCTAAATACACTGTTAGATTCGGCATAACAAATAAATAAATGTGATCAAAGATTTTACAAATCTAATGCGCCATACTGTGCAATTAAAGATTACTTCTTGAAATTTTTCAATATTTGAAATTTGAAAAAAAAATAATATTGGAAGAATAATTCTTTTTAATTTCTGAAATCTGAAATGAGAAAAAATTGGCCCCCCACAATTTCTTTTTATCCCCCCCCCCTTTTTTCCCCAAAAAAATTCTTTCCCTCAAGATATGGTCATAATCTCAATTCAAATTTCCAATGGAGTTGGCAACCATAATTACCCATTTAAATTTACCATAGTGCTAACTTAATCTATTTTATAATAGAATTAAAAATATAGTGTCAAATCTTTCATATGGATTTTTTTGTAAAAAAAAAAGATGCAACATTTGCAGATATTTTTACTGGTCTTCCTTTAAAAATATGTATTTCTTTAAACATAATTTAAAAGCAGTGTAAGGGAAGTAACCAAAACGTTGTATTTGGATTACCTCCCTTACACTGTTTTAAATTATCTTTATTGTTCATTAACCATTACTTTATACATAATTTAAAAGCAGTGTAAGGGCGATAATTTCAATGATGTATTTAATTTATCTCCCTTACACTGCATGACTGCTTTAAATTATGTTTTGTACTAAAGTATTTGTCCATTAACCAGGACAACCTTGTTTTTCCCCCTTTTTTGCCCCTAATTCCTAAACGGTTTGAGCCATAACCCCCCAAAGCAAATCCTAACCATCCCTTTGTGGTATGGAAATTTGTAGTATAATTTCAGAGAGATCCATACACCGTTCCACAGTTATTGTCTGGAAACTAGAAAATGCTTATTTTTGGCCCCTAATTCCTTAACTGTTGCTACCATAACCCCCAAAATCAATCCCAACCTTCCTTTTGTGGTATTTAACCTTATGGTCAAATTTCAAAAAGATCCATTCACTTAAACTAAAGTTAGAGTGCGAAAACCAATGTGTCTTCGGACGACAACGCCGGACGACGACGACGACGACAACGACGCCAACGTCATACCAATATACGACCACAAAATTTTTTTGCGGTCGTATAAAAATTGGTAAAACTTGTCATTTAAGGACAATTTAAGTCATTTGTAAGTAATTAACTTCAACATGTTCAATAAGAACATGAAGAAGTCGTCTGACAGTTTTGATGTTAATGATAGATAGAGCTCAACATTCTGAACATTTCTGTCCAAGTCAGATTTTCTCTATTTATACATGATCTACAACATTTTTCATAATAATAGACAAAACTTGCATTTTACCCCTATGTTCTATTTTTAGCCATGTTGGCCATCTTGGTTAGCAGGCGGGTCATCCAACACATTTGTTAAACTAGATACCCAAATAATGATTGTGGCAAACTTTGATTAAATTTGACCCAGTAGTTTCAGTGGAAAAGACTTTTATAAAAGTTAATGGACAACGACGACACCAATAACGACTGACAACGGACACCAAGTGATGAGAAAAGCTTTAGGTCAGGTGAGCTAAAAACTTTAAATCACAAATTGAATATCAATGTTGACGCTGACGATGCCAGAATCATGAGAATGTAGGATCCCTGTGTCTCGCTTCTGCTACAAAATATTTCAGGTTCCACAATAAGTGTAAGTTTTGGACTGTTTAGTTTACTGTTCTTAATTAACTGAATGAGAATGATAAGATAAAGATTCAATCCTACCTTTAAATTGTGCTTTGTGTTTGAATGTTCTGATGCTTTAAAAATTTGTAAGCATTCATCATATGTATCATTGTCTGATAAGTCTTCAGCATGTATCAGTGGGTGGTGCTCTAAATCAGAATCATCAAGGATTTCTTTATCACTATCTTCACCAAACAAATCAACGTTAATATCTACAATATGTTTACTGTCTGATGATGCTCTTTGTGTAGTCACTTTACATGGAACCTCAGATTTCATACTTCCTGTTGAACTAAATTTGGATTTCTGTTCATCACTTCTTCTTTTAACAGTTGGCTGCTTGCTAATATCTGCTAACTTCCGCTGTGGTACATCTGATGTTTCCTTTTGATGTGAATTTTTGCCAGAGTTTCTTTCATCAGATTTTTTAGACTTGTCATGAGAATTTGCTAGAGAATTTTTGCAAGATTGGTTATCTTTATGAGATTTACTAGAATGATGATCCTTATGAGACTTACTAGAATGGTTCTTCACTTTTGACACATGGAGCTTGGAGTCTTTACTTTTTCCATCACTATGACCACTAACTTTCCTGTTTGAATTTGGCTGTTCTTTGGTGTGTTTAGATTCTGATTTATTCTTACTAGAACTCCTGTTAGAACTAGGTTTCCTGTCTGATTCCACAATTTTTTCAGCTGATTTGGATTTTAATTTTTGATCAGAAGATTCATCTCCTTTAGAAGCTTTTTGAGAACTGTGAGATTTCTGAGAACTAGACCTACTTTTATGTGACTTTGATAAGGAATGTTTGCCAGTATCTTTATGGGAACTATCAGATTTTTTATGAATACTGCTATCAGAATTTTTTTTAGTTAGTTTTAATGACTCTGTTAGTGACTTATTTCCACTTTTTTTCTCCTTTTTTTCTGGTGTTGCTATTTTTTTGTTAACCAGTCTTTCTTCAACACTTCCATCCTCTTTGTTTAAACATATTGTTCGACTCTTCTGTAAATCATCAAATGAGGATTCCTCTGGATTACTCAATAAAAGATTTTCAAAGTATTTAACATCTTTCATCACATTAGTATCAACAGATAGAAGTTCCTCTTTTTCATTTTCATTGACTGGAACAGTTAATTTTTGTTCAGCAATTATATCTTTGTCATAATTTTCCAGATATGAACTGCTCTCTGTAGGTGAATACTGCTCTTCAATTTTATCCTTTTCATTTTCACTTTCTTCACTACCACTACTAAATTTTGATATATCAAATTCATAACTAGTTTTACGTGCAAGCTTTGCTGGACGAATATTTGTTGGCTCATAACTCAATATTCTCTTTGGAGCTGAGGGCAGTGAATGTGATGCAGTTACTTGATGTGTAGAAAAATTTTTCTCTGGATCATACTGGTTCAAATTTTCGATTTGAGAATGGTCAATCACTGAAGTCTTGTCCAAATTGCTTTTCTTCAACTCTGCAATAGGAGTTGGGTTGTATTCAGGTATGTTATTTATAATACTGGTTGTGTTAGATCCATTGTATACAGGCTTTCCTGTATATTTATTGAAACTAGCTGAATCATTATTACTTGGCCCTTCTACTTCATAGGTCTCTTGTTTGAAATCCTCATATATAGGATCTCCTGTATATTTGTTGTAGCCAATTATATTTCTTGGTGTGTCTTTCAAAGAATCACCTTCAACTTTTTTGCTATTAACAACATCACTCTGTATTGAAGAGTTTGAAGACCAAGGTTTATCAACTAAGCTATCAATATATACTGAGTTGCTTGCAGACTTTTGTACTTTTCCTACAAGTAGAAAACTCTTTTTATTTAGTTACATAAATAGTTATTTTTTTTTGCAAATTATTGCTTGTCAATACATTGTATAAAAATAAGAAGATGTAGTATGATTGACAATGAGTCAATTGTAACTCGCCATCAGAGACAAAATGACATAGACGTTAGCAACTATAGGTCACTGTACGGTCTTCGATAATGAGCAAAACCCATACTGGATAGCAAGCTATAAAAGGACACGAAATGATAAATGTAAAAGAATTCAAACGAATAAACTGATTTATGTACAAAACTATAAACTAAAACAATTATGATAAACGGCAATATGATCAACACTGAACTACAGGCTCCTGACTTGGGACAGGCACATACAGAATGTGTCAGGTGGGGTTGAAACATTAGCAGGCACTCAACCCCAACCCCTAACCTTAAGCTTGGACAGAGTTGCAACAGCACAGTTCTCATACTTAATACACACAAAATGAAATAAACTGCTTCGCTGAGCGCAGCTGGATACGCCCGCAGAGGTCCAACCCTGAACAGTTGGGCCAAAAATGGACACAATATTCAAGCTTGATACAGGTCTGAATTTGGATTGTAATTAAATATTTGATATATTATAGATTTCTGAATAAATGTAGTCAAAGAACTTGAAATTGGTTATATGAAAGATTTCTTGCTGTTGTGCAATACACTGTGCTGTTGCGCAATACTTAGTAAATCTGTTGTCAAACTATAAACAAATAAAATCTTATAGAAACGTAAAATCGAAAATTTATAAAAATCAAAAGGGAGCTTACAAAAATAGATATAAACAATTTACCAAAGTTTCATAAAAAAATGCTGAAAGCATTTTTGAGTTATTGTCCGAAAACTGGAAAATCCCCCTTTTTGTAATGAATAAAACCCCATTAATAGGAAACGCATAGTCTGAAATTTATAAAAATCAAAAGGGAGCTCATGTCGATAGAAATACACAATTCACCAAAGTTTCTTGCAAATTGGTGAAATTGTTTTTGAGTTATTGTCTGATGCCTATGGGCACTAAATGCACCCCTTTAATGGCAGATTTATTCCTGTATTGCTATGAATCTCAGTTTATGACCAAACTCAGTAAAGACATGTCATTGTTACATTTGGTTGATACATTCAACAATACCTACCGTTATCTTGATGATATTTTTTCGTTAAATAATCCAGAGTTCTCTAAATATACTACTGAAATTAACCCGAAAGGAACTTACTTTAAATAAATCTAACATAAACAGCAGTAGGTGTCCTTTTCTAGATTTAGACATTTCAATTTTTAAAGGGAAACTCCATACTAAAAGTTACGACAAAAGAGACAATTTTTCATTCCCTATTGTTAATTTTCCCTTTTTAGACGGCAATTAATGTTCCTTTGGCTCCATCATACAGTGTTTATATATTCCAACTCGTTCGTTATGCCCGTGTGTGTATTGATGTCATAGATTTTAAAGAACATAATCAATGCATCACTAGTAAATTATTAAGTCAGTGATTTCGTTACCATAAATTGCTTAAAACTTTTACTAAATTCTTTCATAGATACAAAGATTCGATTAGTAAATTTTGCTGTACCTGTAAAAAAATTATTAAAAAAGGTATTTCACATCCTAATTTTACGGTAATATTGTACTAAAAGCACAGAAAACACTATGTGATCCATGTAAACTCATCAAACCTTTAAACAAACTTATTAGTAACGGTTATCTTTAAATACCAATGTTGTAATTAGATCTTTTAATATAGTTTACATTGGCACAAATATCTATTTTGTCATCAGCAGATTAAAACATAACTAAATTTGTATTGTTTTCAAACGGTTTTTTGGGATGTACAAATATACATCCACGTTCATTTTCTATATATCATGTATATAGAGATTACTCTATCTATATATATAACATTATACATATTTATTAACAGGTTAACTCCTAACTATCCTACTGCCTGTCGATATTTTGTTTTATTTTATTTTGTCATTGCACAAATTCCTGGGATGTATTTTAGTTGATTTTAGTCTCTGATGCATGATTTTTTATTATTAATTGTTTTTGGCTTTTAACTAGCTTTCAGTAACTGCGAGTACTCTCAAATCGTACTTTCGTGTTAATTTGACCTGTTGATACAAATTGTAATGTATTTTTGTTATTTAATGTTTACTTATTCAGTGTTATATCTAGTCTCACTATTTTTAATATATACCACCTTTGATAAGTGTTTGGTATGAAGATAAATTTTCACTTTTGTTCTCGTACTAGGAACAACAAAATTATGTCTGAACTCCATGTATACCTTACAACAAAATTATTTTTATTTACCTGTGAACGTTATTTTATTTGGCGACATTTTGTCCAAGGTTATGGTTGTCTTTCTGATATTGTTAAACATCTAACCCCCTTGTTTTATTAATTTTGTATTTACATTGAGTCATAGATCAAATTCATTCGTTCAGTGTATGTTCACTTGTTTTTGTTATTATGTCTTTTGATTGAGTTAAGCCATTTCAATTGATATTTTATAGTGTGTCTTCTATGTTGTGATGTTACACTATTGTTTCAGGTAGGGTGAACGTTGGCGCCTATTAAAACGTTTAAACCTGCTGCATTTGTTTGCACCTGTCCTAAGTCAGGAACCTGATGTTCAGTAGTTGTCATTTGTTGATGTGGTTCATAAGTGTTTCTCGTTTTTTATATAGATTAGACCTTTCGTTTCCTGTTTGAATGGTTTTACACTAGTCATTTTTGGGGCCCTTTATAGCTTGCTGTTCGGTGTGAGCCAAGGCAATTGCATGCAAGGTTATTTAGATTATCAGTCAGGGGAATTACTGAAATAAGAGATTAAAAAATCACTCATTTAAGAAGCAATTTCGAAAATTTTGTCACAAATTGTGATTTTGTAGTTTTACCAAAATTTAAACATATGGGTTTTGATTATATCTTATTATAAGTAAAATTGGAAAAAATGAACCTTTTTCTTCTTTTTAAAATAGCAAGGTTTATGCCTTTGATAAAATTGAGAATGGAAATGGGGAATATGTCAAAGAGACAACAACCCGACCAAAGAGCAGACAACAGCCGAAGGCCACCAATGGGTCTTCAATGCAGCGAGAAAATCCCGCACCCGGAGGTGGTCTTCAGCTGGCCCTAAAATAAAATTGTGTGCTAGTTCAGTGAAAATGGACGTCACACTAAACTCCAAAACATATAAATAAACTAAAATTAAAAAACACACTAGACTAACAAAGGCCAGAGGCTTCTGACTTGGGACAGGCGCAAAAATGTGGATGCAATCATTTAGCTGTTAATTCTATATTTGTTGAATAAATGCTATAATGAAGGCTTTACATAATGAACTGATACTTTCTTAACAGAGTTTTCCCAGCAGTGGGAGTATTTTTCCTGTAAAATTCAAGGTTTCATCTTGCAGATTATGTAATAAAATTTTACTGTTCGCGATCAAAATTTCACTGTTTGCGGGTGTTGAAATTAGTGGGGGTAATATTAAAATAATAATACTTAAAGAAGTGATTTTTTGGAAGAAAAGAGAGGTTTGATACTTAAACAAGTGATTTTCATGTCATTATCCCAGATTCAGTACAAGGTCATCACCTGACATGACCCGTCATCCTATCAACACAGACGTTGGTTCTGATAATTTTAGCAACATAATTAGTCTCTGGATCATTATTATATATTTAAAGCTACAATAAAATTAAATCACTTAGTCTAGTGATTTATTTGTACTACTTAAATAGGTGATTTTTAAAGAAAGACAACTTTTACTTCCAACATTTGTGGACAAAATGTTAATTGAATCAGTGATTTAAAAATCACTCATTTAAGGAAGTCCCCGACTGATTATGTACATGTACATAAGAATAAAAAATGTTTAAAAATGTCAAGCAATCATCATTACTTTATCAGTTCAAAGATGCAGGGATCCAGTTAGCCCATAAAAGGTTTAAATGACGTGAGAAATCAGAGTAGAGTAAAAGAGTATTTCTGATAATGGAAATGATATGGTTAACCATATTATGCGATGAAATTGTAGACATAAATATTATGGTTACATCCTTAATTAATCAGTTCCCAACCCGACAATGCATATACCTTATCACTATTTGTTCGCAATTACTGGACATCACAAAGGTTCCCGAAAAATGTTGACGTCACAAAAGAAAATGTCTGATGCCACAAAGGAAAAGTGATTGTCATATGATGTCAAAAGTTCAAGTGTGCAAATTCCTAAATAGCGATAAGGTCTATTCAGGTAATTAGTCTAAAACGTAACAAATTTTTTCTTTATTTTTACGTTTTCAACGTAATCCTAGCTAGCGCCTCATTTTTATTCTGCAACAGACATGACAGACTTTTGAATTTGTGCACTTTCCAATAAAATTCTTATGTCACAATGCTTATGTTATTACGACACAGTAGGAACCGCTCGTTAGAAAAATCATAGCTAGTGTCTCCTTTTTATTCCGCAAAAGATATGATAGACGACTTTTGAATTTGTGCACTTTCCCGTAGGCGTAAAATTCTTAAGTCATAATGCGTATGTTGTTAAGACCACAGTAAGAACCGCTTGTTCGATGACCTCGTTTCGGCCGACTGACCTGGTGTTAACCGGTGTAACTCATGCATAAAAAAAATTGAGATTGCTGTATTGTCTATTGACTATTGTCTCTTTTCAACAAATTATCGTTACCTTCCTCTGGTTCTGATTTTGAATGTCTAAAATGACAGTATGGTCGTTCACACAGTCCGCTGATAAAGAATGGACAGTTGAGTCCTTTTAAATAACCAGCAGTAGAAAACATGACGAATGTGTATATTTTATTCTCATTATTTCACAACTTGCTTCATAGGATTTGATTATTTCCCTTGTCAATAAAATACTGCTAGTTTAGGTATCGCTGTACATCGACCTATCGTTATAATAGGTGGTAATTATTGAGGAACACTTTGCAAAAAAAAAAACGACGGGCAAAAACATCTTTTTTCATTTCAAAGATATGTATTTTTTTCGGAAAATATTGACAAATGAAATTTTGCGTTATTACTTGAAACATACATATTTCAAACTGAGGGTATCTATTTTTTTTATTTTTAAAATTGACTATGTGTTAAAATTATAAAGAAAAATCAACGAGAGATCTTTTCTGTATCGTATGCCCTTAGATAAATCGTATATAACAAGCCGTAGGACAAACTCATTACTTTCGACCTAATCTCGATATTAATTTTGCTCTTTACTGACTTTAGACCTATTAGACTCGGTACGGAACTATTGGACTGAAATTAGCAACACCCTCTAATTCCCACCATTCCAAGTTTAAAGATGTCGATAAATTTTATGGAGAAAATTTTAACACGAAGCGAAAGAAGACTGAATTAAATGTAAGGTGTCACTTTCAATACTCATTTAAAGTTGCCTATTATGTGGCAGGTGTTTGTATCAATAACGAACGAACTACTAACAAACTGTGGTTGTCGTTTGTTGCTGTATATCATATTTGTTTTTCGTTCATTGTTTTGTTAAATCAGGCCGTTAGTTTTCTCATTTGAATTGTTTTACATTTGTCATTTCAGTCCTTTTTATAGCTGACTATGCGGTGTGTGTTTTGCTCTTTGTTGAAGGCCGCATGGTGACCTTTAGTTGTTAACTTCTATGTCATTTGGTCCTGTTATCAAATTGGTTCACATTGTCATTGAGGGTCCCAATATTAAACTTTGTTGGATTTCTTCAGAAATTGAATTCTTGGGGTTCTTTGATATGCTGATTCCAACCATGTATTTAGAATTTGGATATTGTACCATAATTGGTAAATGTCCAATTTAAAATTATATAAGTACTTAGACCACATTCATTCTGTGTCAGAAACTATCAGGGCTCGACAATAACGCTTGTCCGATTGTCCGGTACCAGAGGAAAAAAAGGTCGGACAAGTAAAATCTATATCAAGCTTGTCCGACGGGACAAGTAAAATATTATGCAGAAAATAAATTTAATCCAACTTTGATGAACAAAGTAATTATAAACAAAAAACAAGAAAAGAAGATAAAAACAAGTATTAATTTGACATGTTTACTTGCAATCGATAACTTAAAATGGTTCTTTGTCAGGTACTTTTTAACAGGTTCTCGGAAACCAGTCTTTCTGATCCGAATATCGCTGCGCTTTGTAGATAAGGTAACTTTACAAGACAGTTCGTCACCAGCTCGGAAGCGATTCGGCTCCAAGTTTAATAGACAGTTTGGCACCGTAGGAGACATATTTAATAGACATAATTAATAGACAGTTTGGTAACACAGGAGACATTTCGGGACCAAGACAAATCAGTACCTCGTTTCCCTACCTTATTCTGTTGCTTTATAATAAATACCATACCCCTAATTTTTTAACAAAAATATTTTTTATATAAAAATGAAGAAATTATTTACCATAAAATTCACAAAATCATATTTGTAGAAAAAAACAATACTTGCAATACAGTGACCTATAGTTGTTAATTTCTGTGTTATTTGATCTCTTGCAGAGAGTTGTTTCATTGGCAATCATACCTCATCTTCTTTTTTTAATTGATTGCATTTGAATAAACTTTTTTCAACTGAAAAAACCAGGATACAAATCCAATGAGTGTACATTGGCAAACCTATCAGACGGTGCCTCATGTGCAGGGTCTGATGAGACTTTGGCAATGATGAAAACTAGAAACTATGCCATGTGACATGACTAGATTCAGTTGTTCTCGACTCATATTATTGAAAAGTATTGCAAAAGATATGTTAAAATCAAATTCTGTTCTATTGTTTTAATTCAATCAAATAAAAATGCAAAAAAGGTTATTGTTAAGATTTTGGACAAGTTACAATTTCATTCGGACAAGTAAGTTTTGGTATGTACTTGTCCTACTGGACAAGTTGAAAAAAAAGTTATTGTAGAGGCCTGACTATGCTATTATGCTATATTAAATATTTAATCAAAATCTAAATTCAGAGATGTTTTAAATTTGCTCAATTAATTGAAATTTTAAGTTAAGTCATAGTTGAAAATAGATAGAGCATCATATCTAATTTTATAGAATAAATTATGTATTGATATAGTTTGAAATTAACTGTTCATTATTAGATATTTTGAAAAAATAATTAAGGTAATTATATAAGTTTTATAGATTTTTTAAAGACTTTGTATTAATGAGGAATACTATTTTGGAATTGTTTTTTTCTCTCCATTTTTTCTAATACTTTTCTAATAATTTGTATAAATTGCTTATCAATGTGGTTTAATTCAAAGTCTTGAATTCATGTGGTTCTTTGATATGCTGTATCTAACTGTGTATTTAGATTTAAGATTTTGGGCCCTGTATTTGAATACAAGGGTCCAAAATTAAATTTTGTTTGATTTCATCAAATATTGAATTATTGGTGTTCTTAAAGCCCTGCTTTCATGAACTGGAATTATTCATGAATATTCCAGAATAATTCTAGAACATTCATGAATAATATTAATGAATATTCATGAATATTCAAGGTTACAATGCATGAATATTCATGAATATTCATGAATGTTAAATGGCACCTTGAATATACATGAATATTGCAGAGCTCCAGATAAGAATTCACAAATTGGGGTTTTTACCCACCATTTTTTTATGTAATTGGGTGATAAAGTTTTTTAATTGCATTTACAATTCCTATTCACCCCTCAAGCAAATATCAAATTGGGTTTTTCACCACCAAGCTCCTTAATGTATTGGGTTTTTTCATCAACACAATATTGAATATTTAAGCATGTTATAATCACATTATATCAACCCCAGATGTGTTTCCATCTTTTAAAAATGTGTTTCTTTCTTTGTAGAATATGTGCTAGCTGTTTTATTTGGTTTATTCACTGACGAGCAATTGTACATTTAATTTGTGTCCCGTTTTAAACGTTCTGTCAGTTTTGTATTTTCTCAAAACTTATGTAAACTGCAGCTGGTGTCACTAGTTGGACAGGAACTAATTGCCTTTCTAGATCCCATATGATCACCCTACAGTTTAATTATAGTTGGGGTACATGTAGGTGTGGCTAAGTGTTTAGATTTTTGTGTAATATATGTGAAATTTAGGTGCTGTAAGAAAGTTTTGCTAGTCCTTTCACCTATTTGCCAGATCTACTTTTTAATAAAAATAAAAAGTAGTTTCCAGATTTAAGATATACCCCAAAACCTTGAGGTTTATAGGGTGGTTTATAATGACGGAGACCACATTCAACTTAAATTTACAAATAATTCTGCAACATCAAGTAAATAAATGACAATGTTATACTGCACTTGCCAATAAGACAACTATCTTAAGCATCTAGAACAATTAGACCAAAACAAAGAAAGTGTCAAGCTGCATTGACGTAAAAAACGGATATGTGTATTCACTCATCAACTAAAATGAAAAAAATAATATATAAACTGTTTTCGTTTAATTCAATTTACATAAATCTGCAAGGTTGGGCGGTATTTACCACCCCCGGTATTTACCAGTGGTATTTACCGGTATTTACCGCCCCGGACAATACTCCCCAAGTGGTCAATACTGGCAAATACTGGTCAATTGAAATTTTCATACTTCTTTTGACTGACTTATCTATCAATTCTAGTAAAAAAATGGTTGATGAGGGAAAACTTTATTCCTTTGGCATGATTCAATTTATAAAAATGAATGATATTGGTATGTTATTAATTATTAAAACATTAAAAATGACTAATTTAGTTCTTAGGGGTAATGATATTGCATACTTTTGGTATACATATAAAATTGAGCAGCTATATCAGTTATTCTAACATGTATAAATCAAGATATTTTTTTCTTGAAAAGGTTTGAATTTTACAGGTAAATAGAATTACAAGTGACTAGCAATATAGATTATCAGAACATTACCTATTATATGGCTAACAGGTGTCAAAAGTTTAATTACTATAACAACTGTCCCCTAATAAATGTTGACATAACAGGAAAAAAGTCATAAAAGTTATTTCTAAAGATTGTTTTAAACAATGAATTAATTCCTGACTATTCAACAGCATGATAAAAATGTTCTAAATGTAGGAAATGTTTTTTTTTAATAAATATATAACATATATATTTATAAAACAATTTTTTTTAATTTTTTAATTGCATCTTTCAAAATAACTGTTAAGAAAATCAGATGTTATATAGTCTCTCTTAAGTGACTGACTTCATGGTGTTAATGACTATATCTGTTGTATGATTAAATTAATATTTGATAAATCTTCATTAAACCATGTTCATGAACTAATCAATTGTGACTTTTTGTCTTATTACAATGTAGTAAATAAGTGACTTTCTGCCTTGTGACTATATCTATCCATTTACCAAGTAATTGACCTGAGGTAGGGACTAGTTTTCAATTGACCAGTATTTGCCAGTATTGACCAGTATTTGCCAGTATTTCCCAGTATTTACCGGTATTTACCGCCGGCATGGTCAATACTAGTATTGACCGCTTTTTTGCCAACCTTGTAAATCTGGGTTAAGTTGTCCCTTATCAGAACTTTTGGTTTCCGATGCTTTCAAACTACATATCATGTCATAATTGATTTGGCCTTTCACTTTTTCCAACTGATTTTGTTTTGACGGAACCCCGTGTTTATCGCTCTAGCAATGTTCTCGTTATGGTACGCAAACACGCCCGTGGGTTCAATGGCCACTTCCTAAAATCACTAGCTGAGTCTTGTTATCATCATAACTTTCCCTCAGCTATCAAAAAGAAGCCGAAAACATGCTTCTATTCAATATTTTTACCGGACATTTACTTTCGTTTTAATTCATTGTATGTTATGATAAATCCTGAGCAATTCGAAAAAATATGACAGCATGTCACACG